TTTTTTGAAAGGTGTAAGCGGACAATCAGTCAATGAACAAAAAGTGGGGAAAGTCAGTCACTGCTGGTGGGATTGTAACATGTGTCGTCCGGGGCTGGTTGGTGACCTTAACCATTTGACTACCATCACATCATCTGTCGGTTTCCACATAATTTTCTCCAATCAGGAGAGACAAGTGCAAATTAGGTGAGATAGGCAACCTTTAGGAATGTGTCAAATGTATCCTAACTAGCGAAGCCTATCGATCTGAACTCAATGCGGTAGCAAACATCTCCTTGATAAGTTTCCAAGCTCAAAGCGGCTTACCTTGCGGTTACGAACCCGCTCAAACCACATCACTTGCTCCAGACTACTATAAGTCTCAATTGTCGGAAACTTACAGCAGATGGATGTCTTCTACTGGGAAATACAATGCCTCACAACTATAAAGCAGAACTTACCGAACCCATTTGGGTGTCACAGTCAACTGAATCAAACGTTTAGTGGTTTTTAATTTGTTATCTTTCGGAGCTTATCTTTACGCATCATCTGAAGTTCATCCACTCAAATTCGGAAGTCACTACGAAAGCACTGGAATCCTTTATAAAACTTGTGATGTATATCAATCATCCATTCCGGTTTGGGAACTTCGGAAGGCGTGTTTCTTGCCAATAACAATCGTGATAATTGTTGTTCGTAATTCTATATTTAATCTCCATTTTCATTAGGCTATTTACGAAAAGAGTTGCGCATCTGTTTTCCCTTCCATATTTCTTGCATCATAAGGTGTCCATTGCCTTGAAATATATATATTCTGATGGTTCTTTGATAGGCCTTTTGTGCCGTGATTATGGTTCGTTTGTTCGTAGATTTGCATATTCCCAGTGAAAAGCATCTTTCTGAACGCTCACTCTGCGCAGAGAAACATACTGTCAATGGGGACTTAACCGCAGGTCCCTCATCGTAAGTGCTCACACTACCATATCACACACATTTTTCGGGGAACGTGCATATTCCTCTATAGCTGACCTCCGTTTATAAACATATTGTTGGTCAAATCCCTCCCAAGGCTTCACGTTCTGACCTAATTGCATTTACCATACTTTGCCTAAATCTACTATACTTTCCTTCTCGCTCATTTTACCCTAAAACCATATCGTACCGCAACCTCTTCCATTTGGAATTTCACGACTAAGCCACTATTAGGCTGATCCATTAGTCGAGTAGACTAACTCTTACCGCTGCTCTGCAATTCGGTTGTTCACCTGGCTGTAAGCTTCTTTTGTTTTATNNNNCCCCCACTTTTGAACCACGATCTCTATATATCGTTTATCAATAAGCTCTGCTACTTTTCTGGACTTCATTCTGCAGAATTTTAACTGATATAGCAGTCATTCAGGCTAGAAAGTTTAGTTAAAAGTGGCAAGATTTCAGAGGATACCCTTGCACCTGCCGTAATCTGCGGATTGTGAGGAAAAAGAGGTTGATTATCACAACGTATTTTTTGTCAGAGAACAGAACAACCAACTGGATGATTAATCAACCCACCTTCAGTTTCAACACTGAGAAGTTTGCTGTGATACATTAGTTGTTTCCTTAGTTGCCATAGTTACTTAAGAAAACGGAACCAAAAATACCAAGTTAGAGGTAATGAACACAAAAATTGAAATGGGTATAATAAATCATCTATATAACTATTGTCTTGCGTTTATTTTGACAGATTCTCTCCCCACCCACCTCAGAAGTTTAGCTATTTCGAAAGGCACTGTGTTCTAGCACTTGAATGTAATTCTATATCTTTCTTAGTTAATTATTTTGACTGCAAGGTCGGGTTAGATGGCTACGTACACGTGCAAACGGTAAACAAGTTGCGAATTCATTGAACTATTGAACAGTTATTAAATCTGGCGAACTATTTTCAGTGGGTGTAGGTGATCTTAGTATCACCCCGGAATTCGTGAGCACGAAACCCAGAAACGTCGCCTAACTTCCTACTCATTTGTATCGGGTACCAGTCTTCGGATTGGTGCGTTCTCTCCACCTGAAAATTGGTTACACAATAGTCTATTCAACCAGATGAGTTGAAATGGATTATGTTTGAAATGACACCAACGGTGCACATCAGCCAACAACACGGGTTTATATGCCACGAAGAAATATTCATATAATTTTGAGAGTGATTCAAGATGGTTTGCCAGTCGCTTATCATTTTTGAATTATTGGTTATTTGTTATCATTATTTTTTTAACTAAATAAGTATTTTCTAGATTAAAGTACTGGAACTGGAATGTTAATTATCTCTTTTCAACTTGTCTTGATCTCTCCCCCCCCGCCAAACAGTTTGATATAAATTGTGATGTATTAGCCTGTAGAAGAATCACCGCAAACGAGCTTGTTCGCTACTTTGTGCTTTCTCACGATGGGTATAAATGGTACATGCGGACAAGATTAAAGTACATTTGATCTCTTCCTTGAGTTTTTCTCTTACTACACAATGCACATCTAACCTGATGTATTGACCACGTTAATTTTACAAACTCTCAAACATTATTCAGTGCTGCCCCTTTCCACTTCGAATGCACCAAATGTCATAACCAAGATGAGTTAGGAAAATTTCTTCGAGGAGATATATTTCGGGGGCAATACAGTTTGTATCCTTGACTCATTCATTGTCTTGCTTTTCAACCAGTGTTATTACCAGAAATGAAATTTGATGATTTCTAAAATTTGTTTTTTTTTCATGTTTGATTATCAAATGGTGGGGTTCATCGTGTAGAATAAAAAACGAGTGGTTCGTCCGATGTGCACTCTTGTCTGAGATTGTTTTGTCCAAGTCAAGCAGCACTCTGCTTAATCAATTCCAAAATAGTCCACTTCGAATGAGGAGGAAAATTGACGAGCAATAATTATAAACGAGAACTTCCTGTAGATATTCATTATTTATGAACAATCTCACATCCCTTCAATACACATATATCAACCCGTGAAACCATAACCCTGTACAAAGGATGATTGTGTCACAGCTTCCAGCGACAAATTGACGTGAACAAGTATCATTTCAAACAGTTTTACTCATGCCCGATACTAACCTACTAGCAAACCGCCATGTTAGTTTGTTGGTGAATGTGTTTCGTCGTTCACCCCACCAACTATAGCTTTGGGAAGCAGTAAAGGTCTGTTTTGCTTCAGTTAGAGTTTATTACTAGTGAATTTCAATGGGCTTGTCTGGGATTTTAACTCCGATCGTGTAGAAGGTGTTTTTGTTAGCAATTCTTCGAACACCTCGAAGCAGGGTTGCACAGACTCCCTAAATTAAGTTTTTCCAGATGTCGACTTCTTTGACAATCAGTCAGTTAGTTTGCCTAGGCGCTTCACTATTTATTAACTCAAGTTCAGCGCTTCCCTATTGCATGGTTGATTGAATTAAACCACGATTCTGCCCATACCCAAAGAATAATCTCAAACCACTGATCACGTGTGACAATAATTTGAGTGTGATGGTGTATGAAGTAGTAACTAGTGGTATTTATTGGAAAATCGGGTCTTTTTCGTCAAGTGGAGTGACGGGTTATGTGATCTGATGGCAAACGTTTAAATGTCATAAATCTCACACAATTGCAAAGGAGTGAAAGCACTTTACAGCTGTCTGGTTCAGTTTGATTGGGCTAACCATCAAATCACAAGAACCCACCAACCATCTGATATTCAAACTCGGAGCTCTACCCCTGGAATTAGCCTTGATGACTTTAGCTTAAGTCCCTTGCGTCAAAACCAAATGGGAAATCTTTCGTTTTTCGCTGCCTGTAATCTGCTGGAGTTAGGTAAACAGTGACAAAATACACCTTTTTGTCATGGAGACCCACCTGAAGACGAAATTTGCTACTGCAGAGCACCAGTATGAGACGGGCTCCCGAATTTAGCCTTTGGTTTGTTGAATCATGTCGAAAAATTGCTGAGCCAGTACTTGCAAACCACTAAGTCAGTAAATATGTTATATAAGCTGACATGGATGTTGGAAGAACAGTGTTTAAAGAAGGGTAATCCCAACCGGTAACAGAAATCAGAAATTTTTCGATTTGACTGACACATAACAATACATACATTTAATGATATTCGTAGTAGTTTTAAACAACTGACATCAACACGGTCGGGCAAAAAGGATTTTTCATCATACATGCTCGTAAGAGTGTCTCTGAACGGAAGTGGACGCAGAGATACTCGGTTTAGGGATGCTTGTATGTTTGTGTAGATTGGTATGGAGATGGGGGTTGGACAAGTGGAGTGGTGGAACAGGATAAAAAATTACAATTATTATGGCTAAATCAACAGCAATCAATGTGACATGAACAACAATAGGAGCACAGATTTAACAAATATCAACAGCAAGTGGCATTAACGATCGTGGCACTGAGGGTGAATGGGACACACTAGTTGATGGTGTTGGGCGTGGAAGTTTTGAATCTCACTGCCTCAAAAATGATCATTATGTGGGACAGAGAGAGAAATAATCAGAATAGGATGGATATATGCAAACAAAAAATACCGTACACTCGTACTTTCATTCATGGAGTTTCGGAGAATAGTACGAAGAAATATGTCCCTAACCTCATGTACCGATGGAAAATACTCTAGAACAAGAGTATGGTTATTTTATATCTCATTAAAACATACTCATAGAATCAACGGTAAAAACGTCCACATCCAGAACAAACGACGAAAAAGATAACAAAGATGGCAGAAATAATGGTGAAAATGTTGTTGTTGTTGTTGTTGTTGTTGTGTGTGTGTGTACGTTAAGCATCGGTGTGTAGCAAGAACACGGTATTCTCAAAGGGACCCTCATGTGTTGAACATCAAATGACTCAGTGTCAACAATTAAACGTGACTCGGATTTGAAAAAAATGAAGACAATCAGAGAACACAAAAATCCTAATTGGGTAAACTGTGTACCCGCTGGCCGGAGATGCTGTGATCGGCAACACTGGTCTATCGATGTTCACACGATCGGTGTGTTGCCACGGCTAAAGAATGATACGAACCAGGGTGCCGTTAGATTTCCCGATGACAACCAGGTTCATTGTCGGGACAGACACAGAGGCGGGAGTGTTGGTTTCCACCGGGTAAACAGAAATATCGACAGCGCCCATTGGAAAAGCTGCAAGCGTTTTTCATTGCTGTTTAGGTCACAAAGAAAAGGAAAACGAACATAAATTATCAAATTCATGCCATTCTCTCTTGTGGGCAGTAGTTCATTTTTATAATAAGTTATCATAACAGTGCTTATGCACCTTGATCAGAAAAAAACAAAACACTGTGGAGGTATGCAGCTCGCATGTTGAGATTCAAAATAGACTTAAATTGATAATCACGGAGCAAGGTTGCCATATTCGTTATTACCCTCATTGGATACTCAAACCATGAATAAAGAAGTGACCCTGCTGACTTCTGGATCCAGAAATTCAACTGCGCAACTCAGTCACTACACACAGTCAAACTCGAATTTCAGATGATTTATGACCATGGTCTTCACCTCTGGGGTACAGCTTTTAATTTGTGAAGTCAAACACTGCATGATCTGGGTTTTAGGTCTCTTGCCCCTGAACTTATTTGACTGAATCTCGTTTGTGCGTATCAATGAATGACATCAACAGATACGTTAAACAAACCTCCACATTCAGGTTTACACACACACACACATACACATAACTATTTCCATTTTCTTGTGGGAAATGGGAAGTTCCGTTCGCAGAAGGTAGATGAGACAAATAGATAAATGAGCAAGTAAAATCTAGATAAGAAGACAGATAGGCAGACATTTAGGGAAATGACAATGTTCTTCTCACAAATATTTACTCCTTCATTGTCTTCCTTTTAATTAGAGATCAAATCACCATACGTTTATTTCATTTGCTAGATGAAAAATTGCTCAACAAGAGTTTACCTAGTTACTTACATGGGTGACAGGATGCCAAAGCCGCAATCGCTTGGAATCGATTTGAGCAGCACACGTGACGCACATGCACTCGTTTTGCCGGGTTCGCAGAATAATAGACCGTTCTAAAATTTAATTAAAATTGGTTAAAGTAATCATAACAATGTGTACAACTCCAAAGCAATAGAAGCTACAAATCTTTATCGCACACTTGAACAAGTTTACCACGAAGAATTTTATTGTTCAATAAAAAAACTAATGATAGTAGTAGAATCTGAAAACAGCTTTAAATGGAAGACGAAGAAGAATTTCCAAATAAGGGGTGACAAAAGCTGTTCTCTATTCTAAGACATGGTAAGCTAGGTCAAGCCCAGTTCACAGTTCAAATTTATCTTTATAATCAGTAAAACTAACCAATTTCATTTGGACCTGTATATTTATAATTGGCTATTGAACAACTATAGGAAGCAATCTAGGGATAAATTACCGTTCAGGGTTCACGGTTCTCATTCACTTTAGGAAGAATATCACAAAAGGTTAGAAGAACGAAGACGCTGGTCTCGTTTTACGATGCAATTTACTCAGGCAATTTTTCAGGTTTCAAGGTTTTCAGTCACGTATAAAGTTAGCATACCTGGTGGCATCTGTCCAAAGCACTGTGCTCCGATGGTGAACCATTCCCCAAGATGGCTCTTCTGTCGGGCTGAATTGTCTCAGGCGTTCTTGGGTGATAACCTGACGACCATCTGAGCTCAAGCGGGCACAGTGCAGTTCTGTAGCGAGGGCAAACACGTTTGTGATCGATCGCTGAATCCAACATAGTCGTCCTGCAGAGCTACCAGAATTTTCCATCGACGGTGAAATGCTCAATGCGAGCGGTTCACCGTTAAGTTGAATGAGCTGACCCTCGTTTTCACCGGTCATATCAGACACTTGAATGGTGCCATTTGGCATCCAACCATCTGTGAACGAGGCCCAGTACAGCAGACTGAAAGCAAGTTAAAAAAGAAAATATACCGCACTGAACTGCTGTCAAATCGTGAAGCCTTTGCAGTATTTTAGTCTGTATTAGGGATTGCAAAAATGAATAGTGGAGACATTGGAATTTTGTATCACATCTATTTATAGATGCATCAGTTAGACCTTAAATACCAGATAACAATATTTCGAAGAATACCATTCTCTTGGAGGCACAAATCTGATGATACTATTCAGAGTGTCAGGTTCAAACAACGTTCGGAGTGTATCGAAAAAATCGATTCGCCATCTGATATGTTTTATATAAGTTGTAATTTTGAAAACACAGCGATGTCAGTACAGGTAAAAATAAGCCGACGTTTCGGTTACCGTGGGTAACCTTTATCAAGGCGATTTTGCAATCGAATTAGTCAACACCACTGCTCCTCGCGGAAAACTATTTACAAAGTCGTTTTACTATACCATATACCTCTAACGCTTCATTTATTC